AGAGCAGCCACTGGTGCCTTCGGTGGAGCTCCCTATGGGGCCACGAAACGCTGCCCTGGGCGGGGGAACCGCATGCGAGAGCAGCCCTTGGGGCCTTCGGTGGAGCTCCCTATGGGGCCACGAAGCGCTGCCCTGGGTGGGGGAGCCGCATGCGAGAGCAGCCACTGGGGCCTTCGGTGGGATTCCCTATGTGGCCACGAAACGCTACCCTGGGTGGGGGAACCGCATGCGAGAGCAGCCACTGGGGCCTTCGGTGGAGCTCCCTATGGGGCCACAAAACGTTGCCCTGGGTGGGGGAACCGCATGCGAGAGCAGCCCCTGGGGCCGTCGGCGGAGCTCCCAATGGGACCACGAATTGCTGCTTTGGGCACGGGAACCGCATGCGAGAGCAGCCACTGGGCTCTTCGGTGGAGCTCTGGGCCACGAAACGCTGCCCTGGGTGGGGGAACCGCATGCGAGAGCAACCACCGGGGCCTTCGGGTGGAGCTCCCTATGGGGCCACGAAGCGCTGCCCTGGGCGGGGGAGCCGCATGCGAGAGCAGCCACTGGGGCCTTCGGTGGAGTTCCTTATGGGGCCACGAAGCGCTGACCTGGGTGGGGGAACCGCATGCGAGAGCAATCGCTGGGGCCTTCGGTGGAGCCCCCTATGGGGGTATGAAACGTGTGAGAGGTGTGCCGAGAGCAGAAGTAGCAAGGTGGGACGCGGGGCGTTGTCTCTTCAAAACGAGGACCCAACACCACATATTGGTTGGGAACAAAACACTATCCTGGCGAAGGGCCCAACCATAAGCAATTGTTCGTAACGGTTTGTGGGTGCCGCTTTCGGTGGGGCTCCCAATGGGGCCACGAAACGCTGCTTTGGGTGGGGGAACCGCATGCGAACTGCGCCACTGGGGCGGGCCTTCGGTGGAGCTCCCCATGGGGCCGCGAAACGCTGCCCTGGGCGGGGGAACCGCATGCGAACTGCGCCACTGGGGCCTTCGGTGAAGCTCGCTATGGGGCCACGAAGCGCTGCCCTGGGTGGGGGAGCCGCATGCGGACTGCGCCACGGGGGCCTTCGGTGGAGCTCCCTATGTGGCCAAGAAGCGCTGCCCTGGGTGGGGGAACCGCATGCGAGAGCAGCCACTGGGGCCTTCGGTGGAGCTCCCGATGGGGCCACGAAGCGCTGCCCTGGGTGGGGGAACCGCATGCGAACAGCCACTGGGGCCTTCGGTGGAGCTCCCTATGGGGCCAAGAAGCGCTGCCCTGGGTGGGGGAACCGCATGCGAACAGCCACTGGGGCCTTCGGTGGAGCTCCCTATGGGGCACGAAGCGCTGCCCTGGGTGGGGGAACCGCATGCGAACAGCCACTGGGGCCTTCGGTGGAGCTCCCTATGGGGCCACGAAACGCTGCCCTGGGTGGGGGAACCGCATGCGAACACCCCCACTGGGGCCTTCGGTGGAGCTCCCTATGGGGCCACGAAACGCTGCCCTGGGTGGGGGAACCGCATGCGAACACCCCCACTGGGGCCTTCGGTGGAGCTCCCTATGGGGCCACGAAACGCTGCCCTGGGTGGGGGAACCGCATGCGAACACCCCCACTGGGGCCTTCGGTGGAGCTCCCTATGGGGCCACGAAACGCTGCCCTGGGTGGGGGAACCGCATGCGAACACCCCCACTGGGGCCTTCGGTGGAGCTCCCTATGGGGCTACGAAACGCTGCCCTGGGTGGGGGAACCGCATGCGAACACCCCCACTGGGGCCTTCGGTGGAGCTCCCTATGGGGCCACGAAACGCTGCCCTGGGTGGGGGAACCGCATGCGAACACCCCCACTGGGGCCTTCGGTGGAGCTCCCTATGGGGCCACGAAACGCTGCCCTGGGTAAGGGAACCGCATGCGAACAGCCACTGGGGCCTTCGGTGGAGCTCCCTATGGGGCCACGAAACGCTGCCCTGGGCGGGGGAACCGCATGCGAGAGCAGCCACTGGGGCCTTCGGTGGAGCTCCCTATGTGGCCAAGAAACGCTGCCCTGGGTGGGGGAACCGCATGCGAACTGCGCCACTGGGGCCTTCGGTGGAGCTCCCTATGGGGCCACGAAGCGCTGCGCTGGGTGGGGGGAACCGCATGCGAGAGCAACCATTGGGGCCTTCGGTGGAGCTCCCTATGGGGCCACGAAACGCTGCCTTGGGTGGGGGAGCCGCATGCGAGAGCAACCACTGGGGCCTTCGGTGGAGCTCCCTATGTGGCCACGAAGCGCTGCCCTGGGTGGGGGAACCGCATGCGAGAGCAACTTCTGGGGCCTTCGGTGGAGCTCCCTATGGGGCTATGAAACGTGTGAGGGGTGTGCCGAGAGCAGAGGCAAGGAGGGGGAGGAGGGAGGAGGGAGGGGGCAGCGGGAGGAGGTTGCGTGGCACCGTCTCTTCAAGACGAGGACCCAACACCACAGGATGGTTGGGAATAACACGAATAACAATAGCAATAAGACGGATGAGCAAGACCATGATAATAAACATATGGATAATCAGAGGGACGATATATATATATATATATAACATTCTTACAAAACAGAAGGGGCATATTATGAGGAAGGGGGCGAAGAGGGAGGAGGGAGGATAATCAGATCGAACTGGTTGGCGTGCCCGTCCAGAACAATAGCGCCTCGAGGGAGGAAGAGGAACACGAGAAGGAGGAGGAACACGAGGAGGAGGAGGAGGAGGAGTAGGCGGAAAGCAGGGGGAGACAGGCAGACGTGCAGGCAGGGAGGGGCTCCGATTGGCCAGGTCCGTGTCGCATGGGCCATGGCGATCTGACGGACGCTGACTTCGGACGGACTGAGTTTTTTCCCCGCCAAGAGCGAAGCGAGGGTGTTTGGGCGCCCCTTTGGGCGGGGGGGGTCAACCAGCTTTGCTGGGTCCTCGCTTTTTTCGGCTTGTGCGGGGTCCCCGCTTTGAAGAGACAGCGCCCCGCGTTCCTCGCCTCCTCCTCCCCTGCCTCCCTCCGCACGGCGACCAGTTCGGCACGCCCCTCACACGTTTCGTGGCCCCACACGGAGCTCACCCGAAGACCCCAGTGGCACAATCCGCATGGCGCACCCGCACCAGATTCGGCACACCTCTCACACGTTTGGCCCCATCCACAGAAGGCACCAGCAGCACAGTCCGCATGGCGCACCCGCGCCCGATTCAGCACACCCTTCACACGTTTCGCGGCTCCAATGAATGCTCCACCGAAGGCCCCAGCGGCACAGTCCGCATGGCGTACCCGCGCCCGATTCGGCATATTGTTCACCCGCTTCGTGGCGTTATGGGGAGTCCCTTCGAAGGTCCCAGCAGCACAGTCCACATGGCGCACCCGCGCCCGATCTGGCGCACCCCTTCACACGCTCCGTGGCCCCACGGGGAACTCCACCGACCGGGTGGCACAGTCCGCATGGCGTACCCGCGCCACCCCTCACACGTTTCGTGGCCGCACAGGGAGCTCCACCGAAGGCCCCAGCGGCACAGTGCGCATGGCGTACCCGCGCCCGATTCCGTACACCCCTCACAAGATTAGTGTAGGGAGCTCGCCAGAAGGCCCTAGTGGCACAAGCCGCATGGTGTACACGCACCCGATTCGGCACAACACATCACACGTTTCGTGGCCCCATTGGGAGCTCCAGCGAAGGCCTCAGTGGCACAGTCCGCATGGCGTACCTGCGGCCGTTTCGGCAGACCGCTCACACGTTTCGTGGTCTCAAAGAGTGAGTGCTCCACCGAAGGCCCCAGCGGCACAGTTCGCATAGCGTACCCACACCCGATTCGGCCCCCTTCGTACGCGTCGTGGCCCCATAGGGGGCTCGAGCTAAGGGCCCAGTGGCAGCGCCCGCATGGCGGCCCGCGCCATGTCGGCACACCCTTCACACGCTTCGTGGTCCCATACAAGCCTCGGAAAAAAATAGCGAACACTCATGCCACATTCATCTGTCAGCGCCTCCCCCTCCCCCCCATGTTCAAAGTTGGCGGTGGGTCTGATGAGGTGCACCTCGACCGCAGTCTCCCCCGTGCTTGCCAACTTTGAGTTTTGGGGGGGGACGCGTTCGGTAATTCTTTCCCTCTGCCGTAAGGAGATCCACCGAAGGCGGTATGCATAACGACCGCACTCACGACTGCACATGGTTGGGCCCCTCGCCAGGATACTGTTCGGCCCACTGCTCTTCCTAGATCTCGGCCTCTAGAGATTTGTTTCCAGTCGGGCGCGTCCCTCTACAGGGGGACTATTAAAAGATAGTCAAAGACATAGTCTGGGGAAGATGCTTATGTTATTCTTTATTTGTTTTGCATGCATCAGGGGATTTTTTTAATTTTTCGTCCAAAATCCGCCTGTAGGGGGACATCTCGACCTAAGATTTGTTTCCAGCCGCGCGGCCGTCAAAAAGTGGGCCTGGGGCTACACAGTGCTATCCCAGGGGAAGGGGGCTGACATTTGAGGTGCCCGCGGGTTCGACACAGCGATCCGTCGGATGTCTGGGGAAGCGCCTGATCGATGAGGCGCCCGGCTTTGTGCTGGACAGGACGGCCCAAGAGGACAAAGTGTTATCCCCAGGGGAGGGGCCCGAGATTTGGGGTGCCCGCGGATGCGACACAGCGATCCATCGGATGCCTGGGCAGGCGCTTGATCGATGGGGCGCCGAGCGAGCGAGCGAGGGGGCGAGCGAGCGAGCGATCCATCGGATGCTTGGGCAGGCGCTTGATCCTTCGGCGGCGAGCGAGAGGGGGGGGGGAAAATGAGAAGGAGAAGGTCTTCTCAGCAGGCGGCGGGACTTCTCACGAGCCCTCGCGCCTTCTGAGAGGTTTTTGCTCTGTCCCCTGGTGAGGCCCAGAAAGCTTCTCAGAAGGCTGGGGGACTTCCGAGCCTTCTGAGCAGGCCTTCTCCTTCTCGCTTCCCCCCCCTCGCTCGCCGCCGACTTGTGCTGCACAGGACGGCCCGAGAGGATCGGGATCGGAGCCGGTCCCCAGAGCGGGCCAGACGGGGTCACCTCCGAGGTCCTGAAGAACACGGGCTCGACGGTCATCAATTACGAGTGGAGATGCGGGGGAAGTCAACTTAGGGGGCGACATGCGAACCCTACCCCCACCCCACCCGATTTCTGAGGGGGAGGGTGGGGCGCACTTCGCTCGGGAGCCTCCGAACGAAGTGAACACCCTCCCCCCTAAGAAATCGTGGGGGGTGGGGGTAGGGTTCGCAAGTGGCCCCCTCCTCCTCCTCCTCCTCCTCCTCCTCCTCCTTCTCCTCCTCCTCCTCCTCCTCCTCCTCCTCCTCCTCCTCCTCCCTCCTCCCTCCTCCTCCTCTCCTCCTCTCCTCTCCCTCTCCTCCTCCTCCTCCTCCCCTCCTCCTCCTCCTCCTCCTCCTCCTCCTCCTCCTCCTCCTCCTCCTCCTCCTCCTCTCCTCCTCCTCCTCTTCGGCCCCCTCCTCCTCCTCCTCCTCCTCCTCCTCCTCCTCCTTCGCAGCGCCAGGGGATGCTGGGCTCGGGGGGGGGGAGCCGCCGGCCCTCCCCCGCCCAGTCATCGCGGGCAGGGGCCCGGCAGCCCACCCCCCGCGGAGCGCGCGTGCAGTCATCCCGCACAGTGAGGATGGGCAGGGCCTTCCCAAGGGTTATGATGCTCCAACCTGCTGTACAGTCGGGGCCTTGAAGAAGGAACCCTTTTCGTTGGGGAGGGGCTCCGCGTTCCTTCAGTGTTTCACAGCTTGCCTCAGGCTTCCCTGATGTTTTCGACGGGAAATCGAATGTTAAGTTATGGAAAAAAGGGGCCTCGTTCCTTATTTAGGGTTCATTAGGTCAGCGCCCCGACTGTAGCCTTGATTGCCAGAAAGGGTTTCGAGCGCCAGGAAAAAAGTGCTGCACAACTCAAGGATTTTCACGTGTCGGGCCCTGGGAGACGCTCGCCCGACACTGTTTCGACACTCTTTTGACACTCTTCTGGGTGCTCGAAATTCTTTCTGGGATGCGGTCCGTAAGTTGGATGGGAACAACCTAACCCAGGGGTGCCCTTGCATCTTTGCCTCCTCGGTCCAGCCTTGGCCACTTTCGTCGGCCGCGCCCTGCTCGAGAAGCTCCGAAGTGGGCGTCCGAGGCCCTTGCGGCCCCATCGCGCATCCTCGTGGTACCGGCCGGCTGCAGGGGCTCGATGGCCCACCCCGCCCGGGAGCGTGCGCACTCGCCAGCGGGGGCATCGCAGACTCCAGGTCGACGCGCCCCCCCCCCCCCCTGGAGCTTCTCCCCCTGAGCCAGTCTCCCTCGAGCCTTTCCCCCTTTCCCCCCCCCCCCTGGAGCCTTTCCCCCCTGGAGCAGCCTCTCCCCCTTCCCCCCCCCCCCTGGAGCCTTTCCCCCTTTCCCCCCCCTTTCCCCCTTTCCCCCCCCCCCTGGAGCTTCTCCCCCTGAGCCAGTCTCCCCCGTGGCCGTTCCCCCTCTCAGCTGCCGGCGGGGTCGCCGGTTTGTAAGGGAGCGGGCTCGGGGCCGCACTCGCGCCGCATCCGAGCGAGCGCACGTCGGGGGAGATCCGTGACCGATACGTTGGTCGGGGCGCATTCCGATCCGATCGATCCGGGTCGATGTCGATTCTGGCCAGCCCGGCCCGATTCAATTCCGATGTTCCGACGATGCGATGCGGTCCGATGCTTGCACGTCGTTGGCACCCTAGCGCAGCCGATCCCGTTCGACTTCGGTTCCGTGCCGCTGCAGCCCAAGCCGATGCACACTTCGATCCGATCCGATCTCCCGATTCGATGCATGCCGACTGATTCTCTCTCTCGGCTGTCTGCTGCCCTGTCCCAGCCGCTGTGTCCCTTGTCCGAACCGGCGTCTCATGGCGCCAATATTGCAGAGCGGATTTTGTTTGGAAGCAGTAGGATGGCCCCGGAGTGTCCCGTAGAATTTCGCTCCGGATTTCGAAGTGAATTTCGCGCGGATTTCTTTCGACTGGAGAGAAGACTCAAACACCTCCACGAGAAATCCACTCCGTTTCTCGCCCGCCATTCTGGGGTCTTGCATCGACAGAAACCTACGCAAGAGCCCGCTGCAGCACGTCTGCACGGTCGGCGCAGTGAGGCGCCTACTTCAGCCCGGGGTGGCCACGCAGCGTGGGCCCCGAGTCGCCGAACGATCGCTCCAAGGCGCTCAAGATGGCCCCAAGACGGCCCAAGAGGCCCCAAGAGGCCCAAATCATGAACACGCATAGGGCTGTTGAATGGTTCCGGCGCTCTCGCCGTTGTGGCTTCCCGACGCTCCAAGACGGCCCCGGAGGCCCCCAAGACAGGCTCGCCAAGGGCACAGGCGAGGTGTGCTGGGCAGGGCCCTGGGTCTGTCCAGGCGGCCCCGCGCACCCCCCTCCCCCTCCCCCTCCTCCTCCTCCTCCTCCTGCTCCTCCTCCTCCTCCTCCTCCTCCTCCTCCTCCTTCTCCTCCTCCTCCTCCTCCTCCTCCTCCTCTTCATCCTCCTCCTCCTCCTCCTCCTCCTCCTCCTCCTCCTCCTCCGCCTACCTCTGCATCCCCGCAGGGGCCTGAACCCGCCGAGCCACGGCTTTGCAGAGTCCGTGCTCCCCGCGGACCCCACGGGCCACTTCACGTGCCACTGCGTCCGGGGCCAGGTCCTGCCCGGCAGGGAGGCCACGTCGCGCTTCGTCTTCTCGGCCGACGTTCCTGGCCCCGGGCACCTTGGAAACGCCGCCTGGACGCCCCCCAGCCCCAAGCGAGGGTGGACATCAGTTCTCAGCTCGATGGTCCTCAGAGCGTGTGTCAGCTCAGCAGTGCAGGTTGCTACGTTCGGCTGCGCCTATGGCGCGCAGCCTGTGTCGGCCCTCGTTGCGCCGCCTGCGTCGTCTTGAAGGGCCTCGGTGGACAAGCACGCGTTGGCACTAACACGCGTGCGGAGGATCGTCGATCATAACGGAGGGGGGCCACTTGAGACAGCGTTGGCTCTCCCGCCCAGCCTTACGTCGGGTATGTCCTTCTACAGGAGGTATATTCAAGAATAGTCAAACAATCGTCTGGGGACGATTTGTGGTCGACTATGTTTGACTACTTTTGAATATGTTTGACTAGCTCTCGTGTTTCTTCCAAGACCCGCTTGTAGAAACTCGATGTTATCGTTGCTATCGTTATCGTTGTCGTTGATCGTTATTGTTGTGATCGTTGTGATCGTGATTGGAATCGTTATCGTTGTTATCGTTGGGAGGGCCGCGGCCGTCGTTGTCTCGACTGGCCTTACTCTGGTACGACGCATCGGAGCGCGGAGTGCAATTTTGGAAGATCTGGCCGCCCAGGCGCTTTCGTCTCCTCCTGGCAGCTGTCGACGTACCCCGAGCTGAGCGACCCGTTCGGCGAAGTCTCGATGCACGGCGTGGCGCTGCAGGACGATGTCGTTCTGGAGAAGCGCCAGAACTTGCAGAAGAAGCTCCACGACGACCAGGTTAGCCCTGCTCTGGCTCACAATATTCTCGGTCGACGACGACGGCGAGGACTCGGGAAGACACTTATCGGGTCGGGAGGATGGGGTTAGGAGAAATTCCTTGATCGCCCGCATCATCGCGTATGCTGAGTGTGCTTACTACACACTCGTGCCCTGTATCTCCCCAATCCTTTCCTCCCAACGCGATAGCTGCCAATCTCAAGTTCACGAGCACAGAGGAGGGACGAACGACCAGGCGACAGGGGGGAGAACACCGAAGGGCTGCCAAAGGCGGTGAGGGCCGAGGCCGCGCAGAGGGAGGAGGGCAAGAGGCATAGCTTAGGAGCGCCCGTGCGCTGGCATCCCTGCCTGCGCTTGAGATCCTGGCGGTTCATGCCTGTTCGAGCCGGGCGTTTGTGCCTTTGTTCGGGCCCTTTGGCCCCTCACAGACCGCTCCGGCTCGAAACATGCCGAGCGTTTTCGTCTTGGGTGGAGGGCAAAGGGTGAAATCTGAAATGCCGTTTCGATGGATTTTCGAGGCTTGAATCTGCAAAAGGTGTATCACAAGACGGGTTGACTTTCGAGGTGCAAGAGTCCATGTGGATTTCACCTTGAGCCCTCCACCCTGGACAATGCTCAGACATGGCACGGAAAGATGGGGGCCAGGGTTCTCGGCGTAATGTTTTGCGATGTTGCATTTTTGTTTGCAACGTCGGATCTCAGGGAAGGAGCATGCCAGGGGGGCCCCAGCGCCGACCCGAGGAATCTGCGCGGACCCCCGGATTGTTTCGCGTATGTCACTGTCTGGTCCCCCAGGACAGGAGGGAGGGGACGGGGAAGAAGGAGCGGGTCAGCAGTAGCAGCAGCCAGCAGGCAGAACAGCAGGCAAAGGGTGGGACGCAAAGGCGGGCGCGATCGTCGGGGCGGCACCAACTGAGCGCCGACCAGGTTCTGACATTGGGTGCTACCCTTGCCCCATAAAGACGAGGACACGGGTTTTACCCATGGCGACGCGTTCAGGGCAAGAGTCGAGAACGCGCAAGCATGGACTAAGGCGCATGGATTCGTGACGGGTCTCGTTTCCATGCCAGATCGGTGCGCTCCGTCGCCGAATCAGGCGGCCCTGGCGCCATGTTCTGTGGATCTGGCGCCCAGGCGTAAGATCCACGGGTCCCCAGTCTATGCTGCGGCGTGTGCCCGACAGAGAAAGAGGAGGAGGAGGAGGAGGAGGAGGAGGAGGAGGAGGAGGAGGAGGAGGAGGAGGAGGAGGACCATCACTTGGCTAATGGGGAGGCTAAGGGTTGGCTGACCCGACCCTAACCCGAAACCTCGTGGCACTGGGCCACCAGTTGTTCTCCACAGCGGCCATGGGTGCCGCTGAGACGGCAGTGCGCTGCCGACGCTGAGTGCGGTGCTGGGGCCTGGTGTGGCCTTGCACACCAGGCCTCAGCAGCACCGTGCCGCCACCGCCCACGATCGTGGGGGGTGGGGGGTGGGGCAGCGCCACTGTCGGGGCGGACTGGCAACCCAAGTCCACCCCCGTGCTCAGAGGCCCCCGTGGGGTTGACGCCTGGCTGACGGAACCCCAAAGTTCGGGTTCTAGGGCTGGCTGCGTAACCAGCACCGTCAGACCAGGAAGGGAGCTTTGACTCCAGGAGCCAGCTGTGGGCTGAGGCGAAGCTGCAGCCCTGTGCCGCAGAAGAGTGTGCAGCGCTCCTTCCCCCTGATGCGGGGTGTCTGACACGCGTGCAGGACCACACACGCACGCACACGCGCACAGTATTCAGTTGGGCCCAGATGTGGCGTTGCACACCTGGCCACAATCCCGTTCCTCCGCCGCCTGTGGCGGGGAAGTGGGAAGGTGGATCTGGGAAGCAGCCAGGGTGGGCAAGGGAGCCCAAAGTCCACCCCCGTGCCCAGTAAAGAGGTTGCGCCAAGCAGCACTTTGCAGTGAATAGGTCGGCATGCCTCGCCTGGCTGGCGGTACCCCAAGGCTCGGGTACTAGGGTTGGCTGCGGGACACCAGCACCGTCAGTCGGAGCGGGATACAAAGCCCCAGATCGAACCTGCATCGGGCCAAGGCGCTGCGGCCAATGCCGCAGGAGAAGAAATGAGCGCCCCTTCCCCCCGAATCGAGGTGCCTGACACGCGTGCGGGGAGCGCGCTCGCACACACGCACAAGCACACAGAGAATGATGCGACGCCAGGACGATTCGGCACTGCCCACCCCTGGTGTAGAGAACGCCAGGACGGTGGGCAGGCCTCATCCCTGGTGTGGGCCTGTCTGCGCCTGGGCTTGAGCTGCCTCTCTGAGCAGCTGCGCCAACGGCACGGGAGGGAGACTGAGCACAATGGGGCTGGCGGCGGCACTCTTGGGGTGACGGCCAGACTGTGCTCTCTGTAGTTGCAGCTTAGCCCCATTATGGGGCGGTCTCAACTTACAACCGCCAGGCAAAATTTCCGAATTGCCCTCCTTAAAGGGACCACACTTGTGGCACACCAGATAACTTGTTGGCTGTTCGAGGTGCTCGTAATAGAACAAAGTATGCCCCTAGGGGTTGGAGGCCAGGCTGGACATCTGGGGGCAGTATCCAGGGCAATCCATTGCACTGCATCGCTCCTCATATGCTTTGAACGTGCGGACGCGGATGCGGCAAATCGTACACCGGCGCTGGCCATCCACTATCGCCCAGACGTGGGCCTTCGGAGTCTCGCGAAGGGCCACAGGAGGAGGAGGGGGAGGAGGGACGGGAGGCGGGGCCCCAGGGCCCCAGGAGGCCAAGGCCGAGGCAGCCCCCGAGGGAGGGGAGAGGCTCTTCGCGGGCTTGGCCAGCGCCGTGTTGCGACGAGGGGCTATAGCGGGCCACTCCCCAAGGGCTTTGGACACATACCGAAGGTATTTCTTCAGCAGAGCAGTGCCTTTCTGATGCTGCTCCACTTCGTCGAGACTAGGTTGACTGCCAAGGTCCGCGGCGGCCTTGGCAATCCTATCTGCGGCGCCGTTGCCGCTAGCTAAACGGAATTCGTCATTGCCGGGGGGAAACAACTCAAGATTTCGGTGAGCCTTGACTTTCTGGAGTTTGGGGCCGAGGTCGGAATAGCCTCCGCCCGCGAGCGCTTTACAACCTGACCATTGGTTGCGCCGAGGGTGTCCAGCCTCGCCGTGCAACTGCAGCACCCCTTTATTACCGGAGTAAATATGGTCAACGTGAGGCGAGAGCCTGCCTGCCGCCACTGCGGCGAGGTGCTCGGCGGCCCCCGGGGTTTGGGCCCCCCAGGGAACCAACGCGGCCATAAAAGGTGGCAAACTCCTCTCCACCCAACATGCACGCTACAGCAGACCCAGCAGCATTGTAGTTATAGCGGCCGTGACACGTGCAACGACCATCTATGTAGACATCTCCTTCGAACGCTTCCTTAGTCCTTAAATCTGGGTCTCGGCACCAGAACTCAGCGGCCTCCAGGCCAGTGCCAGGGGGGGGGGGGGCCCACAAAGTTGGTCGTAAGCTGAAACCCAATTTGGAGCGGGGAGGCGTCAGGAATCGGGTCTTTCATCCTACACAGCTCCCCACTAGTGAACTCTTCTCTGGCCTGGGCAGTCTTGGGGCGCTCGAGGAGGCGATGTCGAAGGGCATCTTTGTGGCGTTCACATGGGCAAATTTGCAAGGGGCACATCATATCCTGCTGAAAGTGCGCGCTCCATGGTCCAAATACCCTGGGCGACGAAGGCCAGCAGCGTGCCGCGCTGCTGCTTGGTCAGCTCGATTGAGCTGAGGACGGCGCGGGGGGCTGCAACATCAAGCTGCTCGCCATGATGCCCCATCTTGGTGGCAGCCTGTACTGCTAACTTGTCGCGCCGGGCAACCTCGAGCTGCTTGGCAATGTAGGCCGGGGAAGTTCCTGGGAGGGGATGCGCGAGGCCCGTGGCAGTCACAAAACGGAAGGGACCCTGAAACGACCACCCCGCCCTGGCCAACGAGAGGGCCGCCGCGCTGAGGGGGCCCCTACAGGAGCCCCAAGTTTTGGGAACTCTGGGCAAAACCGCCCCTCCCCAGAGGCTGGTCTGTTGGAGGCGGGCCACGGCCGCATCGGGGCGGGCGTTGGCCTCCCAGACAAGACGGCGCCAAATATGCGCGGGCCCGAGGCCCGCTTTCCACAGGGGGTCCTGGAGGATGAGGAGCGAGAGAGCACGGCTCCTCGAGGCACGCCTAGGACCTGCTGTAGCTAAATATTGAGCTTGGGCCTGCGCGAGCATCGTGCTGCTGACGCCCGCGACCTCAGCTCCGAACGTAGTGGCCGCTGCAAGGCCAGCGTTGTGCAACTTCAGACCGTTCCCTCCAACGTGTTTCTTCATTTTGATACGGGACATGCGTTTCTTGATCTTCTTAGTGCGCTCCACAAGCTGTCGTCCTTTGCCCCGGCGCCTCCGGGGCCGTGCAGCCCCGCTGTCCATGCCGAGGTTGGGCCCTGGGAGGTCCGTGGAGGGCCCAGCGAGCGTCCCGAGGGGTCTTCCGAAGCCTGTCTTGGAGGTAGTGGCTGGAGGCTAAAACCTGGCCCTTCTTGGCTGCGACCTGGCACTTGAGCTCGTGCTCGATGCATCTGGCTAGCGACCGATCGGCCAAACCCAGTTGACTGATCACTACTTCGTAGCTCCTAGCATGGCGCTGCAGCAATACATCGTCGCTAAGCATCGCGAGGCGACTGCGGCTGCGCGCGGCTGCCCACTGGTCGATGGGGAGCAAGAACATACATTTGCACCAGATGCGTCGCCCACCCGCACCCTGCAATTAAACCCCATCCACGCTTTGCCGACATGAACACACATCCTGCATAGCAGCGAAACGAGAACTTCCATATTAAGATGGAATGATGCGGAGCAGGCAGCGCGGGAAACCAGAGGCGACAGCGCGCTGGGCAAGACACTCGCGATCTGTATGCTCGTAGTAATTAGAGCGGTCCCATAACACTTGAGCGGGATGTCGGGGCTCCTCTTGACACGCGTGATATTCACCTTTAAGTAG